AGCGGAGATGGCGTGGGGCATCGCCGGCCGTGCCATTCCTCTGGGCCGTCCGGCCGGGCCTTGTCCGCGGGGCGTGCCAGAGCCAGCACCAGCAACAGCTCCCCAAGGGGTTCGAGGCCGCGATGCGTTGGTGCGGCATGGTGGTCGCGTGGGAGCCGCAGGAGAAAGTGCAACCTGCTCGCTTCCCGGCATCATAGACCCCACTGGCGAGTTCACCGCCGCGACCTGGCCCTGGATCTCCTGTCGTCGCGAATGAAGCTATTGGCGAGCGCGACCGGGACGAGGAAGCACAGCAGGAGCAAGTGGCCGGTGCTGGCGCCGCGGCTCGCCGATGCGGCTCGTGGGTGCGCTCGACAGCGGCGCAGCACGTGGAGACAGGCACGGCTCCAAGACTCCGCGCTCGCCGGCCTTTCCCGGTGATCGGAGCATCGCCATTGCCAAGCTCCGCCACAGGGACGCAATGCCCTCAGACCCAAGGGCATTTGAGACTTTTTTCAAGATAATTTAACACCGTTAGATAAAAAAGTGGACAGAATGGTTTGCAAGAAAAAAAGAGTTTAGGATAGTGGCATCTATAAGAGCTCAACTTTTTAATGGCTTATATATAATTATAAACTTTTACGATGGCACAGAGATAAAAACCTCTTTTGAAAAGCTTTTGCCAACGCCTGCAGAGTGTGGGCGACCGAAGCCGGCACAGTGATGGTCACCCCCGGCCCCTCATTGTCGCCGGCAGCGCAAGCGGCAGGGCGTGCACCGTGGGATGGTGCTACCGCAGAAGCCACGAGCAGGACGACCATGGCGATGGCGACGGCGGGGAACACGACGGGGGATACTTTGGAAGCCATATTGTGCTGCGCTGATCGATGATGCTCGATCTCGGCCGGGTCATGCCGTTCTATGGGCCATGCACCGAGTATTTATACGCGTACGCGACAGCTGCTATACGCAAGCGTGCGATGTACGACTGGCCGTGCGCGGAGCCGCGTATGCTCGTCTTGCCCGTACCCATGCCAAAATTTGGGTCCTCTCTATTTTGATTAGGGCCGGGGGCAGCACCGAAAGTCAAAACAGATAAAATCTACGAACGCGCTCTTAAATTAAGAGAACTAAAAGGATACTCGTGCGGTTGATGCGGAACTTTCTTATAAATAAAATTGTTGCGTGTATAAATTAAACATATACGTTCTTACATTCATTCTCACCAAAATTAGACAAGACAATGAAAGAATCCAATGAAAAACTAACAGAATTAGATAAAATTATAAGACGATGGGATGGCAAAACAAATAACAATATATGAATGCCCTCTATATTTCTTATATATTGAAATTAAATTGTGCTTAGTGAAAATGGTGTGAACAATGAAAGAATCCAATAAAAAACTAACAGAATTAGATCAAATTATAAGACGATGGAATGACAAAACAAATAGCAATATATGAGTGCCCTCTATATTTCTTATATATTAAAATTAAATTACGCTTAGTGGAGATGGTGTGAACAGCTTGCATTAAAAGATAGAAAATTAGTAGATGACATGGCTATTAGTGGGAGATTATGTGGATTGGTAGTGGAAAATGATGTGGATGTCTTGTATATTGAGATAAACATGTAGTGGGATTTAGCTTTATAAGAAATATAGATTGCCGCTTATATACGGCGACGGTTGGGCCGCCGTGACTTACATGGATATTGCAAGTACGTACGAATAATATGCACGCCCATCTATTCGGTGCGAGTATGAGAGACAGTTGAAACATATGGCTTCGGCTGTCATTATAAGCCGACTTATCAGCCATGGTACATTATTTTTCTCTCCCAACAAATCAGCCGTACAAATCAGCATAAGCGCCTTATAGACCAGCCGAACAGAGTATGTCGCGAAGCTTTACGAGAATCCTCCGGGCCAACAGGAGCAGTTTTGGGCGACGCTCAACCTTGGCGGCCACAGGTCACACCTCCTGCTGGGGGAGGATCTCCCGCCACCCATCGGCGTTGGCGGTAGAGACCCGTCTGTGGGGGCCGAGGCATTGGTGGGCAAGGACACAGCCATCCACTCTCCCCAAGCAGGCAGGCTGCACACCAGCTGGGGCTGAGGCCGGTCGTGCTTCCTCCGCCTTCGCCTAGGTCCTGCTGTCCAACGTCCGCTCCTCCACGGCCCACAACCATGATTTGAATCAGTCTGGGCAGATACCGGCTTTGCCGGACGACAAACGACATCCAGGTAGGTTGTGGGGTGGTCATCGTCGGACTCCTCACCGTCGTTGTCTGCCCACCCACGGTGCTCGTGTGACCTCAGGAGGAGCAACCTAGGTAGAAAGGAGCCACGACCGGTGAGAGGGAGGAGCTGGGGTGGCCGGCGGTGCAGCGAAGGCCTGTGGTCAACGGGACGACGCCCTCGAAGGTGGGCTCACTCACCCAGTCCCCTGCAAGGGCAACGGGTTGTCGTCCGGCGTAGACGGTGGCGGGAGGAGGCGATCCGCCCCCACGCGACGGCATCGCAAGCTAACTATGCGGCTAGCCCCGACGGCGGAGGCGACGGTGGGGGCACCAGTGGAGGAGGTGGCCGCGGTGGCATCCGCCCCTGGTGGGTAGGGAATGGCGGTGGAGAGGCCTGTTGCGGGCCGCGGCTGTGCCACGCGCTCCCCAGCGCCAGCTTCGCACGTGGGTGACGAGGGGCAGGCAGCCGTGGGGCCTTAGATCCGGCCCCCAACGCTCGGCTCCAGGGTGGTCGCGGCGACATCAACTGCCCCCCCGCCGGCAGGGGGTACGGATCTGAGCGTGGGCGAGGTGGTGAGGCGGAAGTCGAGTTAGGGATGGAAAGGGAGGAGGGTGCTGGCGGCCGCCGCCGGCGGAAAGGAAACAAGGGGCTAGGGGTCCATGCGGTTTTCCCCAGTTAGCATCGAATTAACCCGCGTTCGGATTTTCCAAGGACCATACTTCAGGCCATATATATTCAAAGTACCTGACCGCATATATATGGAGATAAAAAAAAACAATGCAAGTCAGGACACCTATATGTGCACGAGCCGGCCGGAACAGGAACTGAGCATGCAGCAAAAGCAAGGCATATTCACACAGGCCTTGCATATAGTAGCAGCGGGGATTTGCAGAATAGCTCCTGGCTTTGAACTACCTACCCAACTAATTAGAAAGTATCGTGCATGCGACAGAGGGAGTACTTTATATTTGAGATGAAATTGAGGAAGTATATATTTGGATGACCAGTCGAATTCATAGTACAAATTTCAGATTATTAATAACTTTTGTAAGTGTGAAATTAAAGAAACTAGAGAATTGACAGCTTCGATCTTTTGCATCTCGAGAACGAAATAGACCCCGCAATTATTGGAGATGACGACGAGACGTCTGAACAGCCACTGCTTTCTCAGATAAACGCCGAAACACCTTTTTATTGGTGCACAAGTACAGTTAATCATGAAAGGGAACATGAGCCATTAGCTACCGACCAATCCAGTGTGTGTTGGCAATATGATGCTCATCAGTGCATCACGTGCTGCGCCTGCGTGAGATCGATCGATGAGATGGTGCATCAAGTATCAACGACGACATGGACGCTAATGCGGTTGTTGCATGCGTTTGTTCATGTGTCATCTCTGATGATGGACACCTAGCCACCCTCGTCACTTGCCAGATTTACATGTCCTCAGCTCAGCTCAGCTCGTGGTATGCGTGCAGCTGGTTCAGTTTCAGTCAACTGTCCACGTGCACAATTGTGTTTTCCTGGTGGTGGTTAGCAAGCCACATGTGCAACTGAAAGTTTAACAAGAGTGCCACATGTGCAGTCACAGGGGCCTTAGTGTTGATGTCAATTGCCATGCCAATGGTAGGACTTATTTTCTTCACATTACTCAGGTTCCATATTTTCATTTTTGGATAGAAGTTAAACTATGAATGAACTCAGGCCGTTACTTTATTCTTTTTTCCTTTTTTTTAAAGAAAGTGAGCCTAGCTGGGTGAGAGGTGTGGCAATACACCCAACAACCCAGGTTTAAGTCCCCTCTTGGACTGAATTTGGGTGCCTATTTCTCTTCTTAATGAAAAACCACCTAGTTCCTTCTAGGTTTGATCTCGTTTTTTTTTTACTTTATTTTTTTTTATTTTTGGAAAGATGAAGAATTTCTGAAAACCGGACTCGGAAATCTCTAGCTCTGGATTAGGTCCGTTACTCGTTGGGCTCTGTGTAACGCGGCAAGAGCACCACCACTCGTTGGGCCAACTTGGATTCATCCTGCTGTTACGGGCCCAGCCCAACTACTCCCGACTAGTGCAGTTCCAGCCCACCATCGAGAGAAGCCCACCAGACGATCGCTGCTTGGTGTCGTGCGCCGAGCAGCGTGGCGCGCACCGTGTCCCGAGGCAACGGTCACGTCGCCGCGCGGCCGCAGCCCGGACCAGCCGTTGGAGACGACCCCACATGTCATCCGCAGAAAAAATCCATGTTTGTTCGTGCGTGCTCTGCTCGGCCGCCTCCTGGCGTCGTCTCCCCTCTGTCTTCCTCCTCCCTGGCCTTCCTCCGCTTCCTTCTCCGCCACCTCGAACACCCCAAAAATAATTTTACCGAAAAAATTTCCGCTCGAAATTTTTTTTCCTCAACGAGAGAGGGGGAAAGCAAACCCTAGCTGGCCGGATTCCGCCGCGCGCGGCAGGCATTGCCCTCCATCCCGCGACTCGCGCGCGCCGGGAGCTGGGGCGGGTGCGTGCGTGGCGCGCCCGATCGCCGGGCGGCCGTCGTGTCGCGTCGTTAGCCGGCGGCGCTGGCGGGTGGGCGCTGGGTCGGCGGCGGCGGCGGCGAAAGCGGGCAGCACGGGGCCTCCCGGTCATCGCTGGCGCCGCCGCCGCGGTCTGCGGGCTGGCTGGCCGCGGGCAAACGCGCCGTCGGCTGGTCCCGGGCGTCGCGGAGCAAGTGGACCCGGGGGCAGGCCGCCGGAGACGGCGGCAGCGACGGCGACGGCGGCGCACGGAAGCGCAAGGGCATGGCGCTGTTCCGGAGGCTCTTCTACCGGAAGCCGCCGGATCGGCTCCTCGAGATCGCCGACCGCGTCTACGGTACGGTTAACCCCGCCCGCGCCTCCTCTTCGAGTGCTGACACCGAATCACCGAATTGGGGAATTTAGGGGGGTGTGCAATGGGCAGTTCTATTGATTTTAGCACCGGAAATGCAGCTGCATTCTGTAATTTCGCTCAGTGCCGGAACAATTTCCTCTAAATTCAGCTGACATTGTCTTCCTTGTGCATGCTGCATTAGCTTACGGTGCAGGCATGATTTTGCGGCCCCATTCTAGTTTCGTTACAACTATGCTTCTCAAATGTTTGGAAACATGATTGATCTAATTAAGTTTCACATCAGTAGAGATACTGATTGGCATCTCTGTGTGTAGACTTAGGAGTATTCAATTGTTTGCTGACGAGTTTTCAGTAGTGCAGTTAGGTCGCAAAAAAAAAAAAGTAGTGCAGTTAGGTGACTTTAGTAGGACTAACATGACAACTCTCATGCATTTATGCTTTGAGTATGTAGGACCAAGGCTATCATGTATTGATATGCTACTTCCATAGCCCTGTATCAGAAAATTTTGAATGGGTGGCTTCTGGACTTGCACCATACTGCTATGATGTTTACAGACAATGTCAAATTAAGTCTGACATTAATGTGCAATGATTGGCCTGTTTGTGCTTGCAGTATTCGATTGCTGCTTCTCGACAGAAACCATGGACCAATACAGATACAAGAATTACCTGGACAGCATTATTTTGCAGCTCCGTGAACAGTTTGCAGATTCTTCATTGATGGTTCTCAACTTCAGAGATGAAGGAAAAAGTCTTATTTCAGGCATTTTCTCCAAGTACAATATTACAGCCAAAGACTACCCTTGCAAGTATCTAGGATGCCCGTTACTTCCTTTGGATATCATTCTCCACTTCCTGAGGTTGAGTGAAAGGTGGCTTATGCTTGAAGGGCAGCAAAATATTCTGCTAATGCACTGTGAGAAAGATGGATGGCCAGTTTTGGCATTTATGCTTGCAGGTCTTCTTCTGTACAGGAAACAATATAATGGGGAGCAAAGAACTCTAGATATGGTGTACAAGCAAGCCCCTAAGGAGCTTCTTCAGATGCTAACCACATTGAATCCACAACCGTCTCATCTTCGATATCTTGGGTACATATGCAGAATGGATGATGACATAGGGTGGCCTACACAACCTATTCCTTTCACCTTAGATTGTGTAATTCTTAGAGAAATTCCAAATTTTGATGGAGTCGGTGGTTGTCGGCCATTTGTTCGAGTATATGGGCAGGATATTCCAACAACTGACAAAAGTCATGGTGTCTTTTCACCACCATCAAAGGCCAAAAAACATATTAGGCGTTACAGACAGGTACCATCAAGCATATTTTTTATCTAAATGGTTCTGCTATTTATTCAAGTTACTCATTAACTATTTTTGCAGGCAGATAATGCGCCAGCGAAGTTAAATGTTGGATCCTGCGTCCAAGGTGATGTTGTCCTTGAATGTCTGCATGTGGATGATGGCCGAGGAAATGAAAGGTTAATGTTTAGGGTGATGTTCAATACCTTTTTCATCCAGTCTCACATTTTAATGTTGAACTTTGAGGACATCGATGTCCCTTGGGATGCCGATCACCAGTTCACAAAGAACTTCAAAGCAGAGGTAGGCCATGATTTTTCATGTATTCATGTGGCAATTCATCACCAACTATGTCAATGTTAATTGTGGGTGCATGCCTGAACCAGGTACTCTTTTCAGAGTTTGATGCTGAGTCTGATGCATCCACTGAAGTAGCACCTGATTATGATTATGATTATGATTATGATGATGATATGGATGTTGCCTCTGCTGACGAGTTCTTTGAAGCAGAAGAACTCTTCAGTAATGCTGATTCCCAAGAAGGAAATAAGGATGCTGATACTCTTTCTATAGCCTCAACAGATTATACTTCAACTCCAAGCGCCGAACGTTGGAAAAACTTACCATTTTCCAACTTTGAGCTGAATATTGGCATTGATGGACCGCGAGACAATAAAGCCGATAACTTGGGCTTGTCGTTAGAAACAGTAAATGATGGAAAGACATGCACATCCACTGAAGCCAATACTATGCTCAACAATGAAACTGCAGTTGTTAAGTCAACTTTGGCAGCTACAATAGATGGAGACGCAGATAGCGGCATTTCAAGTTCTTCTACTTATAAAGAGGATGGTTTGTTTGAAAAGGGTAGTTCCAAGCAGGATATAAGGATGGGTTCCAATCAAGACTTGGGTCAGATTGATAATGTGTTGGTTAAGGAGGTGATTATATTAGAAACTAATAGTCCTAATGACATACAGATGATCAAAGAGGTCATCATATCTGAAGTTACAACTCCCAAACAGGTAGTAGACGGGAATATGATGGAAACTGAATTAGATGAGACAGTCCACGATTCAGAAAGCATTGCATTGGCAGAAGCTGAGGATACAAAACAACTCAATATTTTTTGCAAACAGGACGAGGGACACAGTGTGCGAGATGAATATGCTGCTCATGGCAATGGCATAGTGATTGAACAAGAAGAAAGCAGCAACGAAGAAAAACTTACCATCAGAGACACAAATTCAGAAGTGACTGAGCCCGCAGATGAGAATAATGGGTTGGAGCTTCCATTATCAGGGATACCACATGTGCACTGTTCAAGCACTTCTTCGGGACTAAGTTTTGCCAAGGAAAATATTGATCAGCTTCATGCTTGCAGTAGTAATGGCACTGCAGAACAAAGGGCGGGAATTGACTCCAGGAGCCACTCTTCTAATATCTCTTGTGTGAACATTCTACGAGAAGAATCTAGCTTGACAATAAACCATGCTTCAACTTCCATGAATGCAAATACAGATACAACCGATTCATCTCGATTGGTGCTAAAGAAAAAACCTTTTCAACCATTGTTGACATCTAGTCTTTTTGCTCCATCATCTCCCAGGCGCAATCTGCTTCGTGCTGCATCCACAGATTTGTCCTTTTTTCCTCCATCACAAACAGAATCTAAACAGAACTCTGTTACTTCTACAAGCGGAAGGGATGATCCAGCTACATCTTATGTGCTTCCACCATCTCAACGCTGCACAACCCTGGGATCATCATCCAAAATTTCTCTAGTACATCCTCCTCTGCGACCAATAAGAACGGTTTCATCTCTACCTTCATTATCATTTGATGCATATATAGAGATGTCAATGTATTCTTCAAGATCGCCCAAACACCAAGAGCATGCTAAACCTCCCTCAATACCACCACATCGATATCTTCACCCACCAATGACAGAGGAAAATGATCTACATTCAGGTAGTCTAACTTTGCCTGCTTCTAACAAATATGCCCCTCAACCCCCATACCCACCTCCACTGCCACCTCAACATGATTCTTGCACCCAAAGTTGTTCGAGCACCCTAATATCTGAACATGATCAAATAAGAGCTGATGGGTCTTGTTCCTTTAGTCCAGGTTGTAGACAAACTGTTCTCAACTTAAGCGATTCCTCGGTAACTTCACCCTCTAAAAGTAGTATAACAAGTAGACCTAATATAGTAACTGGCATGGATTTCCCAATTACTAATGAAGATACAAATTCCCTGTTGCACATGTTGACTTGTTCTTCACCTCCCAAAACATTACAACATGGTGAACCACTACCGCCACTGCCACCTTTGCCTCCAGTACCACCACCATCACAATTACCACTGCCAACTATATGCAGTGACAGTGGATCAGTTCCACTGGTATACTCAAATCCATCTTCAGATTGTCCATATAAAGAACCAGCAATGCTACCAGAACACAAATCTGCTGTTCCATCTACTTCTCTCGAAGGACATGAAGCAAGTGAAGTTCGATTGCTGCAATCTGATATTACTGTTGAGTTATCTTCATCAGAACATTCTGAGTATACAGTTCAGCATGTGTTTGGAAGCAGTGAAGATACAATTTCAAATATCTCATCCTCTATACCCGCAGCACCTCCATATCCAACGTTTCATATTGTAACAGATAATTCCTCAGGTTCAATATCTGCAGAGCAACTAATTTGTGAGCAGCCTTTAGATCAAACGGCATTATCCATTCATTTGAGGCCATTCAAGGTGGAGATATCACAAAATGAAACAATCAACGGAGTCTTGGCCTCTATAACTGATGATAAAGAACGTGGAGGCATTACAATTCCACCGTCGCCACAAAAGTTGCCTCAGCCTAGAGAACATATGAAACCTCCATCTCCACCACGACCACCACCTTGTCATGCAACACTTGTACCTTCTTTGTGCTTATCTTCAAATCCACCTTCTCCAAGAGAACGTTATGAAAATCCACCTTCTGCTTCACCTCCACCTTTTCCTAGGGAATCATTTGTTGCTCTACCTCCACCTCCAGCTCCACTCCCTAATCATCCATCTCTTCCTGGAAAACATATTAATCCATCTCCACCTCCACCTCCACCACCTCCTCCACCTAGAGAAAATGAAGCACTTTGTCCTTTGGCTCTACTTTCACCTACAAGACATGTTATACCTCCACCACCAACTTTACATCATATAGCAATCCAACCTACCCTTTCAGAGGACATTGTAATAGTTTCACCTTCACATTCAACAGCGGTTAATATAATTCCATTGCCACCACCTCCTCCTAGAATGAATGAAATTTTGCCTCAACCTCTTGAGGGTGGACAATCGACATTGCCAGCTTCTCTTCTTGAAGTTACTAAAGAAATCCCACCTCCTCCTATCCTTCCCCCTGAAGGACAAAGGGGATCTCCATTGTCTACTCTTTGTGGAGGAATTGTGAATATTCCATTACCTCCACCTCCACTTCCTGGAGGACATGGAGAAGTTCCACTATCAACTCCTCCTAGAGGATGTGGGGCCATTCCACCTCCACCACCCTTTACTAAAGGGCTAGGAGGAATTACATTGCCAATTGGATTTCACAGTGGAGATTTGTCATTCCTCCAACCTACCAGAAAATCTGAAAGTCCTTCATGCCTGCCACCTCCACCGCCACCGCCACCACCACCACTATCTTCCAATGGACACATAGGAGATCCTCCTCCTCCTCCTCCACCACCACCACCACCACCTATGAGTGTATTTGTAGAGGCTCCGATCCCGCTGCCACCTCAAACAGGATGCAGAGGGGCTCCACCACCGCCACCACCTCCTGGAGGACATGTAGGGCCTCCACCACCACCGCCACCTCCTGGAGGATATGCAGAAGCTCTAATGCAACCACCACCTCCTGGAGGATGTGTAGGGGATCCACCACCACCGCCACCTCCCGGAGGATATGCAGGAGCTCCACCGCCACCACCACCTCCTGGAGGATACATAGGAGCTCCACCACCACCGCCTCCATATGGAGGAATTGGAGGAGCTCCTCCTCCTCCACCACCCTTTGGAGGACTAGGAGGAACTCCACCGCCTCCACCTCCAGCAGGGTTTCGAGGTGGAGCTCCAACACCACCTCCTCCTGGAGGTCATGGAGGTCCGCCACCTCCTCCTTCTAGAGGACATGGAGGAGTAGGTGGCCCCCCTCCCCCTCCTGGTGCACCTTCTCCTCCAATGCCTCCTGGAATGCCTGGTGGCCCCCCTCCTCCTCCAGGTGGAAGAGGGATGCCTACTCCACCCGGTGGAAGAGGACATGGCCTTGCTCGCTCATTAGGCCCGACATTACAAAGTGCAGTACGAAGGTCATCTCTAAAACCATTACATTGGGTCAAAGTAACAAGGGCAATGCAAGGAAGCTTGTGGGCAGAGCTACAAAAACAAGTGGACGCTAATAGGTACTATCAACTGTCAAATAGTTTCTCCACCTTTTAACTAGATTCATAATGGAAAAGGCTCTGATGATAAATGTCATCATGAACTTAATTCAATTCCCACATATTTACTTAATTTGAATCCCATATTTTTTTACTGATTGTAGATTCTAGTGGCATTCAATGTATTTTCTCATCTTATTACTATTCTAACTGGTAATATGATCAATGCAGCCGTGCTGAATTTGATGTAAATGAACTGGAGTCTCTGTTTACTATTGCTCCAAAGACAAAAGCTGGCTCAAAATCAGAAGGCCGTGGAAAATCTCTTGGAACAAAATCTGATAAAGTTCAACTGGTAATTTACTAAGCACGATAGACAAGCCAATAGCCAATCTTGAGTTTCATGTACTTCCTTTTTTTGTTAACAGTTGCATGGAAGTATATTTCCTTTTATAAGTTTGTTTCCCTTTTGGTTAATTACTTTTTGTAGCCAACCAGCATTGCATGGTCTATGATACCGCATAATACATGTAAGGTTATGCTCAGATCCTAAACCTAACTAAGGCCACCTTGCCAAGTTTCCCCCAGTGACCTGAGTCATAGAAAAGTGTGCGAATATGAAAAAAAAAATCTCGAATATGCAGGAGAGCTGCATATCATTGCATTAAGAAGAAGAGAACTTCAAGAGCCCTTTTCATGGCCTAAACTTGCTTTTTGTTCATTTGGTGTAAATAAGTCAATTTCAACAATATTGGAGTATCCATGCCAATTACGAGTTATGATTAGTGGATATCTTATTCTATTGCATCTTCTATTCCTAGGGTCTAAGATAGATATGCATGAAAAGTCCAATCCATGCTTCTTTTAGCGGCGACTCTGGATTCCATATTTACAGTTCATTTTAATACTTTAGCTCAAAATATACTCTTTTGGCACTAACATGCTGGCATTAAAGTTGCTTTTAAAAAAAAATAATGTTACCTTGCAATAGAAATCCTTTACATGTGTTATTATTTTATTTAAAAGTCTGTTGGCGTCTTTGAAAAATCCACAGATCGATCTAAGACGGGCCAATAACACAGAGATCATGTTGACAAAAATCAAAATGCCGCTCCCTGATATGATGGTAAGTATATTTTGACCAGCAATGTGTCTATGCCGCTTTGCATTCTTGAATGACAAGGAATATGTCATAGTTTGAATGGAAAGCACATTGGTTGTTTGCAATTTTTGAAGCATAAGTTACATGATATCAGTGCAGGGGCAATTCATCAATTGCATGACTTCCTTGTAACATTGGTTGTTTGCAATTTTTGAAGCATAAGTTACATGATATCAGTGCAGGGGCAATTCATCAATTGCATGACTTCCTTGTAAATAGTGTTGAAGCTTTCTGTGAACATTTATCATGGGCAATTATTTCCCTTTCATTGAAATGCATGAATCTTTATACTCATAGAAGATCCAATGTAGTTATCGTTAAACAGTTTTGTTCAAGTGAAAGCATTAATAAGTTTTTGGGGGAAATTTTTGTTTGTCTCATTAATTTCTTCATTGATAAATGACAAGTGGGGCAGGTAGAAAAAACAAAATGACAGTATGTTTAGTGGAAAGAAAGGGAGTTCCTACCTATACTTTTAGAATTGCTGTATTGGTTAGATGTGGATAAAATAACTGCATTTTTGTTTTTTTTCCACGATGGCAAAACCCAAATTTCATTACTTCATGGCAACAAAATTACAAGCATTGGTGGATAAAATAACTGCATTGTGGCTGCATTTTTTTTTCTCCCAGTCAGTCTGCATGTCTGCCTTGAATTGAAGATGCATTTTGTATATGGTAGAGTTTGCATATGGTTCGTCATCACACTTACTACTTTGACCAGATCTATCACAGTTATACACAATTTTACAATCTAACAAAATTGTTGTAAAGTCATCAGCTTGTGTAAGTCAGAATCACCTGTTTTTCATGAGTTTTACTCACTTCGTAATTAAAGCTGCTTCTTTTATGACAATCTTCTCCCTAATTTTTTGTGGGAAGTTTAGACAGAAATTAACCCCAAATTAGTGACTACTAGTCAAGTAAGTTTTGAAGTACATGCTTATATTTACTTTCTCTACTTATAACAGAGTGCTGCTCTAGCTTTGGATGATTCAGTTTTGGATGCTGATCAGATTGAAAATCTCATAAAATTTTGCCCAACAAAAGAGGAGATGGAACTTCTAAAGGTTGTTTTTGAATTAATATCTAAATTTTCCACATGTTTGAACCATTTTCTTCCCTGAATCTTGCAAAAATAAGGTCAATTATTTTGCACATTTTTTCCATCAGAACTACAGTGGGGACAAGGAAGCTCTTGGAAAGTGTGAGCATGTAAGCATCCATATTTTGTTTTATAGATAAACCCCGATGTGATTCACATGTTTATATATATTTTTTCTAAGGATACAAATGTGTACTGGAGCATTGCATAATTATTAAAAATCTTAACGTACCTGTTTTCCTTCAATTTACCTTGCTGCTGCCATCTGTAGTTCTTTCTAGAGTTAATGAAGGTGCCAAGGGTTGAATCTAAGCTTAAGATATTCGCTTTCAAGATTCAGTTTCAGTCTCAGGTCATATGCTGGTAACTTTTTGGTATTTTGATCATTGAGATGTTCATGGCTTTGCACCATCCAACTTTCTTCTTTTCCTCTTAGATTAGGGATGTTAGAAAGAATTTGCAGACTGTGTCATCTGCTTGTGATGAGGTACACATTTTCCTGAATTTTTTATTTTTACATTTGGTATCCATGTTCATCATGAGAGAACTCATCACTGATATGCCATTCAGCTCAGAAGCTCTGAGAAGTTGAAGGTTATCATGAAGAACATTCTGTTAATTGGGAATACATTAAATCAAGGCACACCAAGAGGTAATGGACTTTCTTGTTGATGTTGTAAATATCTTTAAACTTTATTTTCTGCATGTATCTTCAGGCTCTGTTGGCCACTAAATAGGTTTAATTGCCAATACCTTATATTATCTTTTCTATTAGAAAGTAATATTCTTGCTGTTTCATTGCAGGCCAGGCTGTTGGTTTTCGCTTGGACAGCCTCCTAAAACTTATAGAGACCCGTGCCACTAGTGGTAGAATGACATTAATGCACTTTCTATGTAAGGTATGTAGAGAACTGAAATCCAAAATTTGAATAACAGAAAAGTAGCATGCATTTAAAAGATAATGTTCACATGGACCTTTTGTATCTTTTCTATACATCCATGTGTTGCAAATGAGCCTAGGATGGTTGAGGGTGTGGATGTAAGCCTAGACCACCCAAGTTTGAGTCCTCATTGATGCAAATTTGTGTGCCTATTTTCTTCTTCATATTAGAGAAGACCACCCTAGTTCCTGCTAGGTTGGCCTAGTTTTTTGGTTTTATTTTCCTGGTCATGCATGTGTTGAGCCATGTTCCATAACAAAACAAAGACACTGGATTTATGATCTTCCCTACCTTGCTTGTACAACTACACATGCATCCTCCATTCCCAAATTCTTCTATTCTATTATTTATCATGGATAAGCGTGCACAAAGAAGGCCTGCTGAGCTAAAGGTGAAAGAGGCAGTTTTGACATTACAAAATTGGACGTAACACCCAAGGGGTGTTGTTAATTAGGAAACTGAAAGTAGTGGCAAAAACAAGATGGAAGGTAAAAGAGGAGTTGTGAATCAAAAGATGCATTTTAGTGATAAAAAAGACCATATTAGAAGTAGAAAATGAAACTGTTAGTTTTTGTTTTAGTGTTTTTTTTTTTGCCATTTTATATTGACTGATATATTTCATATTCTGAGATAACTGTTTCCATATTTAAAGTTGAGCTTTTTGCAGAATCTTTTATTGCATCATCTCTTATGTAACCTAAATTTTGGATTCTTTATGATCAGTGATACCATTTTCCTATGGTAACACCTTAGCGGATGGTAGCGTGGGATATGTTCTCATTATGATGGGAACATATCTTGTCAATGACTGCTTATTTCTCGGTACAGTTTTCTTCAGAACTTAATGACTGGTTTAAATGTACTTCAGTCCCTTGCAGAGAAGTCACCGGAAGTAATGGATTTTCATGAGGATCTTGTCAACTTGGAAGCTTCTTCAAAGGTAATTTGCTTCTCTGACTAATATGGATAACCTCAACTGACAGAATTTGTTAAATATTCTGGAGTTACTGTAAACAGTTGCATCTGAAAGCATTGGCGGAGGAGCAGCTGGCAGTCGTAAAGGGGCTGGAGAAAGTTGAACAGGAGCTAACTGCTTCAGAAAGTGATGGGCCGGTTTCTGATGTTTTCCGTAAGGTATTTTCACAACTTTTTGTGCTGTTTAGAGTTCCTTCTCTATTTGAAATGTTCCTGGTGGCCAGTATTTTGTAGTTTTGGTTGTGTCATCATGTGGAATCCTTAATGTTCGCTTAAAAGATCGAGCCTTTGATTAGTTATCTACTCGTTCAATGCAATGTAGACTTTGAAGGAGTTCATTGATTGTTCCAGTGCTGATGTACGCTCCCTATCAGCATTCTATTCTGAAGTAGTAAGTCATTTGTCATCATCCATGCTTCCATTATGAACACTTTGTGCTTTACATTTGCCCCTTTTAACTTATTCACTGCTTACAGGGTAAAAGCGCAGATGCACTTGCTCTTTATTTTGGAGAAGACCCTGCAAAATTTCCTTTTGAGCAAGGTAATATTCATGCCAATAGATCCATGGAAATGGTTTACCTTAGGTGCGAAAGGATATTTTTCATGGATGGAAACGGTTTTCTTCCATTTTTAACTGCATCCATGGAAATGGTTTTTATTCCATTTACTATGGGGTAAAGCTGTGATCCAGATAAAAAAAGGGCGTACCCAGTGTAGAGAGCTCCCGCTCTGTGCGGGGTCTGGGGAAGGGTGTTAGTGGCAAGCCTTACCCTCGCCTGTGCAATGCGAGGAGACCGCGACTCGAACCCGGGACCTTCCGGTCACAGGCGGTAAGACTCTACCGCTTGCACCAGGCCCGCCCTTCAAAGCTGTGATCCAGATAACATGCTTTTTATCATTGACACTTCTGGATTCCAGTACGAGGAGCATAGTTTATATGGATTTGTTTAGGCTGGGTTAAAGCGGTGACAGTAGCCTGCACCTCCTTTCAGATTGTTTTATGCATCAACACACTTCTGTTAAAAAAAAAACTACATTGACACTTGAACTGGAAGTCAGCGTTCCAGAAATTGCTTCAGAGACTTTAGTATTCCTAGCATACAATTCAGGCATGGGCTAAGCATCTTGCTGGGCTGGGATGGGCGATCAGCACATCTGATGCAGGGGTGGCTCGCACTAGACTGTAATCACAGTGCTAGACTTATCCAGTTGCTCTTGTTGACAGTATAAGCTCCTGATGCACTCTCTCGTCGAGTGTGTGCCAATTCTGCCCATGTTGTAAGCTTTAAAATATATTTGTTCTTAAAAGACATGCAGCTCTCCTGCGTATTCTCTAAAAAAAGCCCTAGCCAGCAGAAGGCGTGACATTTAATCCCAGCTGGATTGTTGTCGATATTGTCCAAGCTGCTCCAATAGACCAGTCTGTGGTGATTTGAGCTTGTTCCCAGTTCCCGCCATACAAAGTCATACATTTCATAGTGACCGGGAACCAGGCTCTTTGCAGCCTTATGAACACTGGTTGGGACCACCATTTACATAAGCCTGTGATCTACTCTTGTCTGACTTCCTTCTGTGCTGTACCAATACTCAAGCCTGGTCTTTATTAGTCTCTTGTAGTTTTTTTTTTCATCGGTGGTTTTGCTTTGCCACATCCTCTATTTTAGACAGTCAATATGGCAAATAGATATCTGTGAAACGAGTTGTATGTCCCAACGAGTTGTCAATGTGATGTGGGTGGTGTTGAGTTGTACAGCACTGGCAGAGTTGTGGTTGCGAAAGGGGTTTTGCTGGTTTTCTCCCCCCCAAAAAAAAGCTGTGTCTTAGTTATGACATTGTACCATAGTTATTTGGAGGAAGTGTAGTGCACCCCTTAGTTGTAAGGTTTTTGTTTCCGGTGGGCCAATTCTCTTTGTCTGATAATACCACAGTGAAGCAAAAGCTTTCCGTCCTTTCAATAAAAAAAATGTGAACTACATCAGTTGTTTTTATGTGATTTTCTACTTGCTTTAGCTTCGATCCATTCTTTCTTTTTCCTTTTTCTAAATGCATTAGCAGTGTACTGCTTGGGTTTCCTGAGCTACAAACAAATCTGTGGTTTTACAATCCTTATTAGTTCTAACTAATCTTTAAAACATTTGCAGTTGCTACAACTCTTCTGACCTTTGTGGGGTTGTTTCGGAAAGCTCATGATGAGAACCTCAAGCAAATTGAGGCTGAGAAGAAGAAAGCCCAGAAAGAAGCTGAAAAAGAGGCAAACCAGGACAAAACTCCTGTAAAATCAAAAAATGGGAATGCAGATAAATCACCAAGATCACCATCAACCTTCAAATGATATACGGCAAAAGTTCACATGGTCATCATTTCTTCCTCAACGAATGCCCGCCTTTGCTGGCCTGGGCACAATTTTGCAAGCATCAATAGTATACAAATCCATAAATTCCTTGTGGACAACTCATGCTTACAAGACAAGGTAACAAATAGTCTCTTTCATATATGTGTAATGTTCTGTTCTAACAGGTGAAATATGTATACTTGTCAGTACCACCCTAACACATAGTCACTTCCCTTTTTCCAGATGCTTTTGGTTCAACGTCCATGCCTGTATCTTATGACACTGTACAAAGCTCACCCCACACAAAGTTAGGTTCTTCTGTACAAAATCCATACTAGATCTTTCTTTTTTTTTCCCTTCTGTTTATACTAGCAGCAGGAGTAGGTCAGTGCTTGTAAACTAGAAATAGGAGTGTAGGCAGTGATCAGTAGAAGGTCAGAAGCAATAGAAAAGGATTAGTGCTACCACAGGCAGGTTTCTAACCAGGGTAAAGTTGAGTATATAGCCATGTTCTTTGACTAATTGACTACAGCAAAGTGTTTGTGCATGACGCCTGTCACAAGTGTCTAGAGATCAACTAATACTCGGTCAAAATGTGAACTTCAGTGTTCTGCCTCATGATTTGTCAAGAAAAAAGGGTCACCTCTTGCTTATTTGCATTGCTTTGCATTCTCATTTCTTTCGCACCTTCTCCTATAATCGATGTTACGGATGTCATGACACTAGTTTCTGTTGTAGAGAAATAGAAAACAGTGCCACGAGGACTGTAATGATGTATTACTCCATACATCTGACGGTCTATTTCTGTTTAGAATCTGAAATGAAAAGGAAAATTTGGCTGATATCTTGTACAGAAGGAAATACTTTCAACTCTCCAATATCAAAAAGAGGGTTTTCTTCAGGCTCTCTGATCTTAGTAATTCTATATTTTGCATGAGTGAGAATTAGGCGTGGTTAGAAAACCTCTGCAGCTGTGACACAACATTTGTATTTAAATTAGGCAAAAACAGGATGATCATACATGTGCAGAAATGCATACATATATTGCTTGTGGAGAAATTCTAATTTGTGAGTGTGTTACAAACAATCCCGATTGAATTTGTTGGTGTGTAGTTTGTTGACAGGCGCGTGTTTGATATTCGTCAACCAACTAAAGTACAACGTTGACATACGCTGGAATGGAAAAAATAAGTTGTCATGTGCAAGGAAACAAATTTCTGTTTTATAATCATGACTCTAAATGAACTTAAAGCTTCCCGAATGAAGTGAAACATTGATTTGTTTAACAGCTCAGGAGCAGATAGGCGTGGCTCTGGCTGGCAAGTATGGCTCGGTGAGTGACCTCTCAGGAGTCGGGTCTTCTTAGTTTCAGGCTTCCAAGTTCTGTGGGCAAGCCTAATGAATTTGACAACAAGGTCAGATTCACTACAAACTGCAAATCGATTCGTATAATACATAAATAACTGATAACTCAATGGAAGGAAAACCGAGAGATAGCATTGGCGGCTGTAGGTTGAATGCGAGTTACGGCATTTGGTGAATGGCTCCTTGAGTGTTGCCGGCTATATGGTGCTGGGCACTGCATTTGCGGTTGTGCCCCTTGAGGGTTTTGGTACCATTGTTGGAGAGGCTCCCCTTTTTGGAGTCCCATTTACCAGTCTGGTACGCCATGTTGCAGTCATGGCAGATTGCCAAGGTGAGCATCACCTTCCTATCAGGCCCGAGTACTTTTATCGGCGTGAAGTCTTCCCAAACACCGGCTCGCTTTCCATTAGGTCCATTCGCTTGACATTTGCTGTACATTTCATCGAGCTCGTAATAATCTGAGGGGAAAAAAATGAAAACAAACGATGAATTGGAAGGAAAAGGAAGGAGTCACCGATCGAAGAGTGTAGAACTCATTAATTGTAGGTTCCTTAATTGAACAGTACAACTAATTGAACCATTCATCATACTTACCCTTGAATGACTCAGGGTTCTTCATCAAGCCTTCGAGTTGCTGCATGAGAGAATCCACTTCGAGGTCTCATAGGAACATACAGGTCCCAGAAAAAAAATTATACCAACGCAACAGGAAGGCACCAGGGCACATCGAAATCCATATGGCCGTGCATATATGTGCACAGTGCAACTACAGTTTTCTGAACGATCCTGGAATGGCTGTGTTGGTTATGCACGGCTTCCATTAGTCATCTATGTCACTCATCAATAAACTCTTGGAACTGCAGCTGGTTAATCCTGATTCAAAGCGAAGCAGGGAGACCTTAGAATCAACCAGGAACCATGAAGCTTTGCCTAGCAATTTCTGATCGGTTACCTACCAGGACGGTACAGATGAGGACGCCTCTGGAATTTCTAGGGAGGAAGAGGGATCATCCACAGGAACAGAGAAGGTGGGCTGTCCGAGCAGAGGTGCCCAAGAACTTGAACAATCAAATTTGCGCTTCTTCAAATTGGTTGCCCTGTCATCCCCAGGTTCATAGGTCGGGTCCTGTGATGCAGGAAGAGGAAGGCCGACATTGTTAGAGAGAATATGATTAGGAGAGAAGGAAGAAGAAGATTTTGAGTTGGCAAGCAACCTCATTGCCCGGACCATACAGGGTAGAATCCCAGAATTCTTGTGGAGGTGGAATAATCTCATCTCCTGGAGACTCAGGCATGGGTGCCTTGCCTTTATCATCTGCACCATTCTCTAAAATACCATATGTTCATTAAATATCTTCTGGGACTAACAAAGATATTTTGTTACATATATCTAGTCAAATTGTAAAAAGTACACAGAAGAACTCAAATCAGCATGTCACTGATATAACTGAGACAGGATTTAGCTTTTACTTTTCTGAAGAGAAAGAAACACATATACAGAATCAATTTTTGGTGTTGCTTGCTTCAGACCTTCAGAACAAGTCAAAGTACTGTAATCAGGATCTAACCTAAATCTAAGTTACATGGAATTTATTACCATGGTATAATCATTAACAATGCATCATTTCACACATCAATGTAAATACATCTAGTATAAGTTATGAGAATCCATGTATTAAATGATTAAATCAGCAAGAAAAACGTTTATCCTTTACACAGTTAGCAAAAAACATAAAGGTGAAGATGCAAATGCAAAACAACATAGATGCATCCATCAGCTGCTTGCCCAGTCTACTCTCTACAATCGAGGAATGAATCATCACTATAAAATGCATAGGCACAACTAACGTAGTGATGTATAGCTGAATATGAACAAAATATAGTGCCTCCTATAATCTTACTGGAACCTGAATATTTCAGCAATAAACACATGATAGCACATAAAAGCAAAAGTTAGATCCGTGTATGATAGTGGTACCTTGACGGTGGGAATTTTGATACATATTCTTCACATAGATCAATAGCATAGCAATCTTCCGCTTATAACTATCCTGAGAAATACAGAAGAAAATGGTATGAGTTGTGTGACACAAATGGTGGGACTTAAACCTTGTCTGATGCTTTTTTATCCAAGGTAAATGACTGTATAGTATTATATGTTCTAGCTTGCTTGGCAAAAGCATAGGCCTTGTTGTTGTATAATACTGTACGGAGTATACCCATGATAGGCTTGTTTACGCCATTCCTTTCTGACAGAAGGTTTCCTCAGGTAATATATGACTTATACAAACATGAGTGGCAGAAAATGGACTGAGTAAGTCAAGGTATATACTCCCTCTATTCCAATTATAAGACGTTTTGGCTTTTCTAAATACATAGTTTTTGCTATGTAGTTAGATATACACTATGTCTAGATACGAAGTAAAAGCAATGTATCTAGAAAAGCCAAAACGTCTTATAATTTGGAATGGAGGGAGTATACAAATAACATTGACATGACCATTGACACAGATTAGATATCCATGCATAGTTGTAACACAATAACAAACAAAAAACGATAGCTAAGATTTATGAAGATGTGACTAGCAGTTCAAAAGTTAAGCTAAAAAGCTTTCCACATTGTTTACAGAATCACAGACCACTTGTTCCTGAGGGTGTGTTTGGTTCCCTGGCTTAGCCCCTAGCCAGGCTTGCATAATGCAACTTGGGCCTTTTTGTTCCCGGTAAATCCGGCTAGCCAGGCTTGCACAAGCCCAACCCTGGCTGCCGCCCCGCCTCCTCTGCGCTCGTCCTCCACACCGCCGGCCGGCTGGCGAGCCTGCTTCCCCTCCTCCTCCTCCTCCTCCTCGAAGGCAGGATTCGTTGCGGAGGTCCGGGTCCGGATGCGGATGCTGTCTTCTTCTTCTTCTTCAGGCAGCGAATCCATGGCTTCTTCTTCTTCAGGCAGCGAATCCATGGCTTCTTCTTCTTCTTCTTCAGGCAGCGAATCCATCGCCTGAAGCTCGTCGTTGACCCCAACTTGCGGCGGGTGTTGTTCACAGAGGCCAGCGGGGAGGCCATCGAGTTCCTCCACTCCCTCCTCGTCTCGCTGCCGTTCGACGGTGCAACAAGGAACGCCAGCATTGCCAACGTCTCCAACAGCGTCGAGAAGCTCCACGCGTTCACGGCCGCCGCCAACATCTCCCGCGGCAGGAGGAGCGGCGCGAGGTGCCCGTCCTGCGGAGGGGAGATGGCCGTGGAGGTGCCGCTCCTCCTCCTCCACCCCACCGGCCGGCAAGTCCTGCTCCTCCTCGCTGCCATGCTCGCCGGCAAAGGTGCTCGCAGTGCCCACCACTGCCCACCACCTGTTCGACTAAAGTCCTCAAAGGGGGTAAAATTACCGGTTGAAGGAAGATGTGGTTCTATGCAAACTAAACCAGGCAACCAAACACATTGATTCCTAGCCAGGCTTAGCCAGTATAGGCAACCAAACATGTACTACTTGCATTGGCTAAAGCTGGCTAGAGCTAGCCTGTCTTAGTTTTGCTAGCCAGGCTTGTCTAGGGAACGAACCAAACACACCCTAAATTGAGAGGCACCCACTTTTTTGAACCTCATAACTAGAATATGTGGCTCACACTGTGGAAGGTAAACCCCTTCAGGTCGAGTTTTTTTTACACTGTGGAAGGTAGGAAAATTAAGCTAAATATACCTTGTTGGTGGCTTCTTTGTAGAATTTAAGCTCAAATCCCTCAGCAAGCTTTTGAAGTCTACTGCGCCCCTCTTCATCTGACACTGGCAGATGCCACCTCAGAGTCTTAAATCTACACATGTAAATGTAATGCAAAATGAGATATGTTGAGGCACTGTTGAGTGTTTACTGTTGAGGATGTTTCGGTAATACTACAAGTAATTTGCTGACTACCACTCAGGTCAGTTTTGGATGGGAGGAGAATCTCTAACATCAGGAGGAAAAAAAAACTTGATATCAGGTCAAAAGAAAGCCGAATGCATCCTAGTGCTGAAATCGAAGTGGCATGAAAAGTTTTAGACATCTATAACAATTAGGGAAATATACATCATCGAGCGAGTAAATAGGTTCTTACATTTGTTTGACCATCACCTGCCGCGCCTCGAGATCGATCTGGAAATGGGAACGCGAGTCGCCTCCGGTGGCGGCGGCTGCGGCGTCTGGGTTGGCGTCTTCCATATGCCGCGCGCGCGTCCTGTGCACCCTGCCTCCTCTTCGCTTGATTTGATCTGATTCTCGGGATGGGATTTGTTCGACGCCGAGCAGCTGCAGCTGAGGCTCGGGATGGGGAGGACAACGAATCGATGGGGATGGATGGATTGGTGGTTCCTTCTCCTTGGTCCGAGGAGAAACAGAAAGCGGTGGTCAACTATTTCTTTGGGACTTTTTGGGGATTGGTCATGGGTTGGGGAGGGGTCGTACTCCCTCCGTCCCTTATTAAATATTAAATGAAGAGTAAGAAACAAATATAAAAAAGATTAAAGAAAAGCATGCAAAAATACAAATAATTAACTAAATCCTGGCTGTGGATCAAAGTAAGAGTAAGGGATTACCGCGAGAGGGGGGCGATTAGCGACCGGTGACGATGACTTACGGGTCTTTTTAGTTGTAAAGATAGAAAATTTATCCTAGCTCCAAAAAATGCCACTACTAACTAAGACAATTTTCCTGAAATTGCTTGAGTATTTCTTTGGCACCCAACGCCCCCAAATCCCCGATTAAAAATGCCGCCAGTGAAGCGGAATTCAAAAACCCACGTCGTCCCGTTATGGCTGCATATTTTGGCTTTTGGTTCGATCGTACTAGTCAGTAGTCTTCTGTTCTCTTCTCTTGACCATTTTGTCATTTTGGACGAGATGGGCATGAGCAGACACGGCTCATTTTGGACTAGTTTCGCTTTAGTTAATGGCTGCACGCTTGATTGGTTTTTGGCTTGGCTGGGGTTGCTTTTACTTTGGGGCGCATTTGGGTTGGACTAGTTTCGCTCTTCTTAATTCCTTCCCACTGTTAGAAATCGCGTTCTTGATTCGCACACAAGCACAAGAGAGTTAGGAGGAAGAGACAGGTCTCTATATTCACTTTCTCTAGTTACATCAGGTGAAAAGAACCTCCTATTTATAGGCAAAGGGAGGTTGGGTAAAAACCTAGGTTTTAAAAAGCCGGCTAAGCCATTTAGCTTTTTATGTCCCAAAACAAATTATAACTTGCTATAGCGGGCTATAGCGGCAGTTAAAGGCTAACCTGTATATGAAAAATTTAGCTAAGTCCTTCTCAAACAGCTATAGCCGGAGATAGCGGAGGCTATAGCCGGAGATTTAAAGCCTTGGTAAAAACCCTAGCTACAGTGTGTGAACGCTCTGTCGTCCTCATTGATTTGGCCACTACCTTTGACTGTGATTTACAACACTCCCCCTTGGCCAAACTTATGCTATGTGTATGCCTCGTTAAAAACTCCCCTAAAAATCCAGTGGGAAAAAAGGGTAGGAGAAAGAGTACATCACATGCATTACTTATGCTGCACCTGTTGCCTCGTTAAAAACCTTGCATGAGAAAACCTAGTGGGAAAAACTCATCAAGGAAAAAAAGAGTACAACAGTTGATGTCCGATTGGTCTTCAAGACCGGCTCGTGATCTTCGGGATCATCAACATGAGCTATGACTTAGGGGTTGGTCTCCCCCTAAACCCTGCAATTCTCTGAGCCGTCTCAGGCCAATTCCACGGACGCATATGTGGAAGCTAGAGGCCGACAAAGATTTTGTAAATAGGTCTACTAGATTTTCACATGATCTAGCTCACAGGATATTTATCTCCCCACTCTTTTGGAGCTCATGGGGGTATAAAAGAATTTTGGAGCAATGTGCTTCGTGAGATTGCTCTTAACATAGCCCATATGCATCTGTGCAACACAAGCCTTATTATCTTCGTAGATAATGGTGGGGGTGTCAATGACGTTCATACCACATGACTTTTGGATGTGGTTAATCATCCGTCGTAGCCAAACACATTCTTGTGCAGCTTCATATAGAGCAATTATCTATGAGTGGTTGGTCGATGTGGCAACCAGGGTCTGTTTCACAGACCGCCAGGAGATGGCTGCACCACCACAGAGAAAAATAAACCAGTCTATGATCTGGCATTATGGGGGTCAGACATATAGCCAGCATTAGCATAACCCACAATATTTAGGTCCCCTTTTTAGGAAACCATAACCGAAGGTCCTGAGAGCCCTTTAAATATCTGAGGATGGTTTTCACACCAACCCAATGCCTTTTGGTGGGGGCGGTGTTGACGGTAGTTAACGTTCATCATAAACCATCAATATAACTTATATAAATGCATAAAAAAGGATCACCAACATAGGTCTAGAGGTTTAAACTAATAAATTCCATAAGTTTTGGTGAATCTGTGTTTTCAGCAGACAGTGTTATCCTAAACGCTAGACGATAAACAGTATGTCACCTACCGTTTAGCCCATTATTCGGGCAAAACGGGTGTTTAAACGGGAAAAACGGCCGTTTAAACGGGAAAAACAACCGATTAAATGAAAACGGTGTACCACCGTGTAGCGTTTAAACGGTGTGTAAACGGGCAAAACGGCCATTTAGGCGAACAGTGCCAGCAGGATTTAATCAGAAAACCGCCAAGGAGAACCTATTCGTCAAAAGAAATAGTGGAATTCCACAGGATAAACAATGTGGGAAGATTCTAGAAGACTCCAGAAGGCAAACCACCGAAGCGGAGGGCAGGTGGCTGCCATGTGGGGCCAGCTGGCCCCACCTACAGGCCGCCCGGCCCCCTGAGACCACCTGTCAGCCCCTCCTTTGAATATCGGTTCTCCACCGCCTCCTAGATTGCATTTACGCCATTCTTTCATGTCAGTTTGATTCGAGGGGTCCAGAATTGATGCTCCCGCCTATATATAGCAGCCCTACCCCTCTCCCTGGAGCCATCCCTGAAACCCTGATTTATCTCTCATTCAGAGATCAAGATATACCAGGAGGATTAGGTCTAGACTCTCCAATGTAGTAGATTAGTAGCTCGGGAGTGAGGGTCGAGTTGAGCTCATGCTCAAGTTTTGGATCTAGTCTTGGAGGCTCGGCAAAGACTTGTATCTTCACTTCTACATCTTGTAAAACTTATTATCAATTTATTATATTTCTATCTACATGGCTATGCTTACTTTGAATATATATCTTGCTTAGTTATGGTTATCATTACTTTTGTGTGCGGGTTCATAGAGCGCTTAGCCTGCTAGTTTACCGGTTAGGCTAAGTAGCCGAGTCTTGTGTAAGCGTGGTGCTTATACGATGCTCTGCCTATGAGTGCTCCCTGTTCTCTAGTTGGGTGGTAGCAGCAGGAGGTGACTATAACACCCTAGTGTTATTGCCTTCGTTAGCTCAGAGTTCAAGGCCTAATAAATCCCTATGAATACGTTTTTTTAGTGTGTGACTCGCTTCGTGAATAAATGAACCAATTAAGTGTTACCGATCCACTTGTTTTGGGCTTAAAAACTTTTGAATAATCCTGTGAACAAATGTTGTTTAGGGTTTGTATTGGAAAAAGTGTGAAGAAAGCAATTTTTATAAACAGAAATAAAATATAACTTGTATTCAGTATTTAAATAAGATTTGAAGGACAAGTTTAGTAGATAAAAATATAACTTTTGTTCTGGTGAAGCGATGTTGTTCAATAGTATTTTTGAAAGCCCAAAACATCAAATCTAGAATCTAAACTAGATTTTTTTGTTGAATCGACAAGAAATTGAACTTATGTTCAAATGCTATTTTTGGTGAATTATACTGAGCAGAGTAGTTAAAAGGTGCTTAAATATTTTGCTCCTATGGGTTAGTATGAAGTATGGACTATTGTGTGAAATGCTTGTTGGTTGAAATTAATATGGTTTAGATATTTTAAAAATTATGGCAAAAGTGTTAGTGGTTGTTTAGTTCTAACTGAACCCTTACCCTTTTCTAAATCTGAAAATGATTGTAGACAATTATATTTTAGCAATTGAATTCTACTAAAACACTTAAGCACTAGCTCTATGATTTCGTAGTGTTAGCTGTCTCTAAGTGAGTACTTTAGCATGGTGAAGTCCACGGACGAGTTGGAGTTGTCGTGGCATCATAGAAATTGCCCTAACTTTGTTAGAACTCGTTGTCGATCTTGTTTCGGGCTTCGGTCGTGAACTGGCGTTCAGCGCGACGAGCTCCTATTGGCACCTCTCTGTCTCCCTCGATGCTCACTCTCTAGCCATGCTCGTTGCTCGGACGAGAAGCCCTTAGTGTCTACTAGAATCTTAAACTCTTGTTTTAATATCAACCGGGCTCTAAGCGGTTGGTTTTGATGCTTTAAAATTCGTGCTTAGCACGTGTCTGGCCGTTCAGCTGGAAGTGCGTGGTCACCACGTTCGGTGTGCGTCGTGGCTACCTCTGGCCACGCGCGTGCATGGGCAGGCTGATAGTGGCCACCCTTGGCCTGGCTATGTGGCAGAACAGACCAAAATAACACACTTATGGAGGCGCTTGTCTTTCACTAGACACTAAGCACCCCTAAGTCGAGCTACATCAGGCAGTTCTGTCGAGCACACCCTATAAGAGAACACGAAAATCAACATTTTTCAATAGGATCATAAATGAGATAATAAAGCTTACAACATTCTTAAGTCATTTCTTACATCACTTTCCATGCAACATCAGAGTATAATATTTATTGTTTATAACAGTGAAATATAACCATGTTATCAGAGTTTCAGCAGAAATAAAATCATTGAATGACAAGTTAAACATTAACATGATGATCCTTTATATACATCATAACAGGTTATAAGTTTTTTTCATTGTAAAACATTTTGGGTGAAAATTTCAAATAAACTCTATGCCCGCAACGTTAAGGAAATCCTCGCTGAGCCCACCAGGGGGTTTCCACACACAAGTGTCAGCTCCATAAGTTCATAGAACCTACAATACGGTAGAACAAACCCTGAGTACTTAATTATACTCCGTAAGACTTACCTGTCAGGAGGAAAGAAAAGACTCCAAGAATATGCAAGGCTATCTGACTTGTGGTTATTACATCTGTAGGAAGCATTACTAAACGTGCATCCTTATATTCATTTTCATTAGCAGTCATCATTAGTTCATTAGCTAACCATTCTATGTAAGCACCTGTGCTACTT